TTCCATTGGTCCTAGTCAATTGGTCCTTACTTATTAATTAATATCCAACACACATATTGGAAAAGCCCATTGTCTTTTTCTTGGAATCCTGCCAACTTGTCTACAGGTCATACACATGTTCTAAATGTTCACAAACCTATATCAAAGGCTGCAAATAGTATAGAGATATTAGGCATATCTATTCATGAGGCTTGAAAGGATTCACTGTTAAAATTGGCATTCGTAAGACATATCTACTCAACTGCAATTTTGCTACTTTTCTCCACGCACCGACCCCCACCCCCCACCCCTCACTCCTTCTCAGCTCTCTCCCACCCACCCAGCCCAGTCAGTTGAGTGAAGTGCTTTGAGAGGTCCACTCAACCCTAAATGGGCCAAGTAAATGTACATTATCGTTGCCATCCATATTTGCTAAAAATATTGTTGGATTATAATATTCTGATAACACACAGTGTCTCAATTTATGAAACTCAAGACATAGTTGAAACAAACTATGTCACCGTAAGAGCGACAAACTGTGACAGAGAAAGATCGAAAGAATCAAAACAAAAGTAAGAAATATAAAGAGAAAATTAAAATTAAAAACATGAAAAAAAGGTTAGATAACAGAGTAATAAAAAGCAAATACCAGATCAAATACCAGAGAGAAAGAAAGAAAACAGACGCATAAAGAACCGACAGAGGCAAAGACACAAACATAATATTGTCATTGGTCTTAAAATTTACAATATCCTTCAGCTTTCAAATACTGTAGTGACCTAATTTCTTGGCTTTATAAAATAAAAGATTTTACCTAATCCAGTGAAAATGTTTGTGCTTTTCAAATAAAACTTGCATTTCACATTTTGGTGAAAGTGTCAGATTGTGTTCAGCACTTGCGTGGGTGTAAGAAGTCCCATCAACAAGGACGGCACAGTCTTTATTTCAACATGCAAGAACACATTACTTTGCAGTGCAATTTTTGTGTAACAAATTATTAGCTGCTCCTCAACTTATAAAAAGCTCCACAAACTTCTAAAAAAATGTAAACCTCAAGTGACAGCTGACAGGAAGCCAGCTTCTAATTCCTTGCTTACAGCTACATGAGCTGCAAACTGCTGACGAAAAATATCAATATTGCAGGTCTTGAACAGGAGTTGATCACATGGCTTCCTAGCGCTATGGTATTTCCTGCTGTTGAAGAGGTTATTTCTTAATGACATGTGCAGTGATATGGTTCCCAGCAGCTGCATAACATCACTATTATACTTCGGTAGACCACAAGGTTACAAGAAAATATCTGTCAGAATCACTTTTTTTTCCAAAAACCCCACTTTAGTAGATAGTTGTCGAGCAACGGTCAAAAGGAAACCACCCTCTGTATTTAAAAAAATTCTCCTAACCTCTATATGTTGCAGATATTTCAAAGGTATAATTTACAACCACATCGAGGAGGGAGGTTTGAAATTCCGTGCTGAACATTAAATTTTGTAAACTAAGATGGCCGACGGTAATTTGGGTATGGCTTAAATTCCTGTGGGTTTTTTGCGCCTATTCACTGGAGATACATTGCATGTATTCAGTGACCAATACCAGCAGAGGAGAAAAGAAAATTGTGATGGAGGAATGAAGCCATGAAAAGTCTAAGACTAATAGATTTATTGATTGATTTCAAGATCTTCATACTGACGTACAAATCACTTCATGCCCTGGCGCTCCCTACCTCTTCAACCTGCTTACATCCCACTCCATTATCCACCTTTGATCAGTATACTCTGACCTCCTGCACGTCCCACCATCGGCAGCTATGCCCTCAGCCACTACGCCCCGAAACTATAGAACTCTCTGCCTCAATCCCTTCATCTTGCCCCTTCTTTGCCCATCTTCAGATAACACCTGAAGACCTTTATCTCCAATTGTGCCTATGGTCACTTGCCCTCTCCCTAGCCCAGTGTCAAGCTCCATCACTGTTAAGCGCCGGGAGACACTACCCCGCATGAAGGACATTATATAAAATGCGAGCTGTTGTTGTCATTTAATTATGCTACATTTATATTGAAACATTAGGATTCAAATAATTGCGCTGAAAATAGAAACTAGAAGAAGAATGTGGGTTATTCTTCTTACCCATATTAATTCAATGGGAGTATTTAACCCATAACTGATTCTGTGGAAAGATGGGGGCACTGGATCAATGGGAAATTTTTGGCTACCAAAAAGTTAAAGGCAGCAAAATAAACACATCAAAGCAATATAAGTAATGAATGTTCAGGTCTGGAGTTTTTCTTTAAGCTGTTCATTTTACAACTTTTGATCTGGGAGTTTGTGTCCATGTGATGCACAATGTTCAAATCTGTGGGCACAAAGGTGATGAGTTCTGACAGTTTCAGGTCAATCTTCAAGATGAGACACCTTGTGGTAGAAGCAACTGATCTAGGATAATTTACCCTCCAGGAACCATGCCTGATGTGCACAATTGGCAAAATATACAGTCAATTCACTTTACAATATATTCTGTGAAGCGCTTTGGGACGTCTCGAAGACATGATAAGGCGCTATATCAAATGCAAGGATTATTATTACTGTCAACTGAATGCAGAGTAATAGTGCCAAAGTTGGGCATATGATATGTAACAATTTATTTGCCTGAGGTAGATTACAGTTTTGAATGTTAGAGAGTGAGTAGTCCTAACATAACTAGAAAAAATAGTAATTTCAGGTATGGAAACACTAATTCTCAACCTCAGACAGTTCAACTTTGGTCTGATAACCCACCATTGCCATATTCAATTCGGAGAGTAATGCGGAAGTTTGCTATGATTTCTGGAGGCCATAAAGCTTTAGGGGCGAGAAGTTCCACCTAGTCTCAGCCATTTTGTTTAAAATGTATAATTGTCCAGATATGTGAAAAGTTCTTAAATTCAGCCTTAATTTGGGTGCTGGTTTTCCACTGTTCTGAAAAAGAACGATCGTCCAAATTAAGACTAAATTTAAGAAATTCTCACTGATTAGCGTCATCTAACCAGTCTTACTTGTACCACTTGTCAATATAGTTGTTCGTACAACAGGTTTAATTTAGCATTGAAAGGGTTACAATGGTGAGCCATTAAATGTTTTATTGGGAGTGAACCCACTGACCTCTCTTTGAATAAGTGCCTAGTGATTAGTGATGGGAGCAAATTTTGTGGGCAATTGCTTTCCGACAAGTAATTCAGTATAATAAGTTTGCTTGCAAGTCAATAACAGAACAAACAATATTTGGCATTTATAGATGTTCACACTGATGTCATAACAATAAAATACCCATTGCTGCTTTCATCATGCACATAATGCACATAATGCTTAAAATGCCTAGACTAACAAGGACATTTTAAATTCTTTAATCAGCAAGCATCTGCTTCCTGTAGTAAACCGAAAAGTCTATTAACCAGTCAGAAATGTCAAACTCAGTTTGAGTCAAAAATGTAAATCTAAAAGGCTGAATGGTTTTGAAATATAACTTTCACTCATCTTTATGAATTCAGCATCAGATACCAATTATTTTTAGCAAATGTTTTCGTAAGAAGACATCAGTCTAGTGCAACATTTCTATAGTGTTACATTTAGTGCAACATTTGTTGCCTGAAAGAGATCAAACTGAAGACAAACAAACAAGTTAAATAAAAGATGATCTAATTAATCCATTAAATTAAATGATTAGCAGATTTTAGGCAGAGGAATGGGTTGACAAAATGAGCAAAATACAGCTTGAGAGACACTATTGTCTGAGAGTGTACTATTGCCATTACGTGCCTTCAGCTCCCCTCTCGACTCTCTACCCCCTCCTCGCTCCCTCCCTTCCCTCCCCTCACCCTGACCATTTCCCCCCTGCTCGGGTCCTGACCCAACTGTCCAGCGCCTTGGGACGTCCTCCCGACGTGAAAGGCGCTCTATAAATGGAATCTTGTTGTTGTTGTACAGTAAAGTTTTTGTCAGAGTCACATCCTGATATGCTATCAAACTGATATCACATGCAATTAAGCTGATAGAAAAACAGATACTAGTCATTTGTGATATTCTGTTGCTTATTCATGAATGCTTATCAATGCTGAAATCTGAAACAGTAGCAAAATCACCATGTAGTGATGTACCAGATGTGGGGTTGAAAAAGTTCTGATAAAAGGTCATTGACCTGAAACATTAAAGCACTTTCCTCTCTCCATAGATGCTGCCTGACCTACAGTGTGTTCACAGCGCCTTCTGTTTTTATTATTGAAAAAGTGCTTGTTGGGAAAATGGCAGTGCAAATGGCATTTCATACCACTTAAGATGTAAGATGCATCTCTTCCAGGAAATCTAACTTGCGTCAATTCAACTCAAGATGCGATCTTGTCTCTGAATGGAGATATCATCAAAGCCGAGTTCCTGGTCAGTACAAGGGGTTCCTTGGAGGACATCCACTTTACATCCCACTATCCTTTTTCGTTTGCAAGTTGCCATTTACACTGTTATTTTCCTGATAAGTGTTTTTTTCAACTCTGGTAGCTGCAGTACAAAAGCAGCAGCATGAACCTGCATAAAGATCTAAATATGAAATATTAAATACCAAACTCTGGTGGCCTAAGTTTGACAAAAGGTCATGCCACAATTGTTAATGTGTTTCAGATGTTGATTGCCATGCTGCCTATTTGCAGGGTTTCCTTTTTTAAAAGAAACATTATCCTGTGGTGTCAGACGCAAGTCATTTGTGATATTCTGTTAGATCTCTTCCCAATAGTCAGAGGGCAGTGACTTGAGCTTCATGTGCGTGTTTGAGTGTACACACAGCAATACAAGAGTGAAATATGAACACAGTTTCCCCACTCACACAATTGCTATAAACTATATCAATACTTCACCTCCTCAGTGCAGCATGAAAGTTCCACAAACACTTAATTCCATTGTACTTTTTAAATCCAACAAAAAAAATCACAGTAAAGAGTCGAGCCTGTCAAAATCAAAATGAAAACAAGATTGTTCTTGTGCTTATATAATTTTCAAACCTGCACAATGGGATGTCCTCCACCAGTTGCTTTTACAGCTCCACGACTGCCCTCAGTCTCATAATGTGCTCTGTGATGAGATTTCGGTTGCAGTTCAATCTGGAGTTCATAAGGTCCGGAGTGCGATGGTAACTGCCAGTCAAGGGCAGGAAAAGAAGGGCTGAGGACATGGAAATACATTAAATTTTAAACTCATAAGATGATTAAGATCAAAGTCAAGGATGATAAAAGGGCATTTGGCCTATGAAAACTCATCCCTTTGCTGACTGCATCCAGTCTCTTGGTTAGAATCTTCTTAAATGTTTTCACCTCTGACCACAAAGACCACAAAGACTGCTACAATTGTTCATAGGAATTTTCTTCTAACATTGTTTTTGAAACTGTTAAAAACAGTAAGAGAAATGCAAAACACTTGTTCCCTTTGTAATTGTAAAATGAAGTTCTCACTTACTTGCACAGTTCGTATGATTTGAGAGACTAAACCAGATTTTGTTTCTCATGGTCTTGAGCAAAATGAACACACATAATCCTTTCAAATCTAATATTATTATGATCACACTTAAAAAAGTAATTTTGTGAACTACCTGTCAAAAATTGGATATAAAAGCAGCGCCTGACAAATTTTCTATCTGTTTTGATCAGTTTCACACAAAGGCTGACAGATTTGACAATCCAAGTGATTTTATGAAATCTTGTGAATTTCTGATATCTCGCAAGACTTGCTTCAGTGAGACTTTTGGCTGCACATGGATATTGTGTCAGCTGTGGTGTGGAATATTTTCTTTCATCTGCTCTACAATTACACCATCAAAAGTGTACAAATATTTGTGTAACCTAAGGAAAATACTGTATTTATAAATGATTATTATAAGTAATAAAAAAAGGCTAAGCAAATAAGTGAGCAATAATCGTCGCAAAATAAAATCTGGAAATTCCCAAAGTGCTTGATTTTCTTGCAGAAAATAAAAATGAAGCACTGAAAAGTGATAAGAGATATGCAGCACAACACAATAACAGATGTAGACATCTGCGTCATTTTAAATGGCTAGGATAGGAATCAAGACAATTATTGAGAACGGACAGCAACTTTAACACTAACCCATAAATGAATGGGAATGTGATGTTTGTGAAGATAATTGCTGCCCCCCCTCCCCACCCCACAACTCCCAAAACCAGGAATTTAGTTAATGCCATTGACGCAGTATAAAACATTTGTATTGGAGCCAATTTCAGGAAACTGTTATATTTAGAAACAGCACCCTGAGCTCTATAATTCTACCAAAAAATAAAAGAAGATTGACACTGGTAAAGGGAGTTTGTTGTCTTTATTTCCACACACAAAGATCTTCCTAGCTAACCTTCTCTCTTCTCTCCCCAGAGGTCACACCCTGAGTCATGGCAACAGACTATTCGACCACAGATCATTGCCAAACATGATCCTCATGAGAAGTCCATACTGAACATAAACAATTTCCAGCTGGGGTCTTGTGATAGTGATTAGGAACAGGAAGTCTACTTGATTTTCCAATCCCTAATCCAGAAGTCCTGAAGACAACTGTAGCATCCTACCTGGTACCCCAACTGAGATTAGTAACAGAACAGACTACAACTGAGATCTGTAACAGCACAGACTACAACTTCCCAATACTAGCGCTTACTGACTGAACCATTGAGGAAGTTATCGATACACTTTATATATTTGACAGTAACATTTACAATATTCATACCTGGCATAGGATGTTGGAGACGCAGGTTTTGGTTTAGCCCAAATATATGGATGAGGTACCGATAAATACTGATCACAAAAGTTTCTTTCTTGAAAGGATGGCGAGACCCACAAAATTCTTCTTGTGGTAGATCTGTAGATGGAGAATAAGCTCTCTGCTCATCATTACTTGGCTCAGGCTTGAGAGACATGGAGCCGGTTTGGTCTTGCAGAGTCCTCCTTGACTTGACAGGAATGCTTTCATTGATATCCATGCTTGTGTCAGTGGTGAGTGCAGTGATCGCTTCAAGGATAGCAGAATTTGTGTACTGGTTCCCACTCCTCAACCATGTTTCCTCGGTTACACTTACCCGAGGAGAGGCCTGCGGTGACGGGGTTCGAGAATGATGTGGGGAGTTGGAAGGCTGTCGATAGTACCCACCATTGAATGAATATCTCCTTTTGCCACATGGAGATTGTGGCCTTGATGAAGGCCTCGAAGTTGGTCGTGGGCTTAGCCAATTCTCCTCAGTGATACTTGTTCGAGGAGAAGTCCCAGGTGAATGTCTTGGTGAGTTCCATAGGGTGCATGAAGCTTGCCCACGAGGGTAGCTTTCCTCAAGGACAGTGCCTTTAGGGGAGACGCATGGAGACTGCAAAGGAGAGGTCTGTGGAGATGTATCGTAAAGATAGGAATAACTGGACTCAGATGCTTCTGAATGGCAGCTTCGAGAAGACAAACTACTTGCTGGACTTAAGCAAGAGGGGTCTCTATAGGCATCTGCATTTGGTAGACACAGGGTAACTATTGAATTTGAACGCTTAGAACTCGGGCCATTCTCATCTCCATCTGTCTCAGCTTCACTTGCAAATTGATTAATACCAGGGTGTATTCCTATATAAGGAGTAATTTCTATTCTTGGACTCTCTAGGGTTGGGATACCGTTTGGTCTTATGTTTGGAGACAAGTAGTAGGTTGAAGCTCCAGTATCAATGCTCCCTCCATATCCCATCATTTGATTTGTTGCTGGTAGTACAGAAATCACTGGACTTGACTGCAGCCCATGGCAGGCAGTTGGTATAGAGGGATTTACCATCCCAGGTGATGGAATGACTGTAACATTTGGAGAAGCAAAATTGTAGGCTTCTGTGAAAAAATGAAAATGATTTTAAAAAAATGAAATATCTTATTTGAAAGAAGTTATGATTCACATTTTGCTTAATAATAATTATAATACTTGCATTTGATATAATGTCTTATGCTGTTGAGATGTCTCAAAACAAATATACTAAAATGGATTGACTGTGTATTTTGTGGATGAAATGCAGAAGCCAGTTGCACACAGCAATGTCCCACAACAGCCATGAAGTAAATGATCAATTTTATTTGGGGGATTGTTGGCCAGGACACAGGAGAAACTCCCTTCTCTTTTTGAATAGTCATGGGATCTTAACATCCATCTGAACAGGCAGGCAGGACGTCGGTTTAATGATTCCGCAGGACGGCACATCTCGAAAATGCAATCCCCACCTCCCCAGGATTGCATTGGAGTGTTTCCAAGTCCCGACATGACATTTGAATCCAAAATCTTCTGACTCAGAGTCGAGAATGTGACCACTGCACCAGGCTGACACACTGGCAGTTTAACTGGATGTGCAGCATTAACATCAAATTTAGGTTATTTTTATACTACTAACAGGCCACTAATTGCAATAAGTACTCTCTCTAATGCAACTGTTTGTATTCTGAGACAAAAAAGCATGTAATTCATAACAAACATCTTGTAATTATGTATTTATAGATTGGATAGGTTGCTTACATTTTGTGAAGTTAACAAGCACTGATATTCTTATCTCAATAATAATCATCCTCTTCTACCTACACAGTAATTTGTGAGTTATTTATTAAACTCACACAAAGACCTATTCCAGCAACCCGAGACTGTCAGGAAAGATCCATGAGCATCTTTACAATACCTTCTCTTTCCATTCTTGCATTTCATGTGGTTGACAAACTCCACAACATGTAAAGTGTGCTATCAGTCATGGAGGTACTATTTTATCCTCCTCTGTACTGTATTGAAACATTTAATAGAAAAGGAACACAAGTTCTTCTACCTTTGTTCAAGTTAATTTCAAACCTAAGAAATTTTAGGAGAAAATACTTTCATTTTTATAGCCCCTTTCTCAAATAATTACACATCAAGTCAAATGACTGTTTTTGCAGGGAAATAAGATAGCCATTACCACCCCAAAGAAATCACAAGCAGCCTTAATAATAATAATAAACAACATGTTGTTGCTGTTGTAATAATAATAATCCTTACATTATAGCACAGCATTGAGATGTCTTAAAGCGCTTCACAGAATGTACTGTACAGTTGTATACATATGTATTGAACATATGGATGAACATAATAACAATAATAATAATCCTTGCATTTGATATAGCGCTTTTCACATCTTCTAGACGTCGTAAAGCGCTTCACAGAATATGCTGTAAAGTGAATTGACACAAAAACTAACTTGCACACGGCAATGTTCTACAAAAAGCCATAAGAGTAAGGCACTGCAGACCTGCCTGATGATAGTCCTGGCAGGACTGGGAAGGGCAGAGTAGTAATTGGGGGCAGGGACTCTTTCCACTCAGGTCCTATTAACCCTGCAAGCCAAAGCCCTAATAGGTAAGGTGGTCCTAGCTGGACAAGCAGCAGGAAAGCTTGCCAGGCAGTGCCCTCAATGGCAAGATATACGTTTTTAGTTGGTTAGACTTCGTGAGTTCCTCAACGCACACTTTGGGCTTCCCAAACCTTGGCTGTTGCCAATCTGTGCCTAATACTCTCTGGAATTAGTTAAACAGGATGTGTCCCTTAATGGAGAGAGTACACATTCCATTCCAACAAATATCTCTGGAATTTCCATGTGTAGGTGGGATGCATGGAACTCTCAGTATGGTTTGGATACTTTTAAGCATGGTGATAATAATAATGATAATAATAATCCTTGCATTTGATATAGCGCTTTTCACGTCGGGAGGACGTCCCAAAGCGCTTCACAGAACACACTGTAAAGTGAATTGACTGTATATTTGTGGGCGAACGCGGCAGCCAATTGCGCACAGCAATGTCCCACAAACAGTCGTAGATTGAAAATGACCAATTTATTATTGTTTTGTTTTTTTGGAGGGATTATTATTAGGCGTGTGGAGTAAGGAAACTTGCCCAAGGTTTCGCCCTGACCTGCCTGGAATTGAACTCAGGTCTCTCGCTTGCAAAGCGAGTGCTCTACCACTGAGCTACAGTTTCCACATGTGTCAGACACTCGGCTGACCCGAAAAATGCAACATTCAATGTTTTGTGTTAATTGAAACCACCAGTGTATGTTGTTAAGACCATAAAATTAAACCAACTTTCAAATCCCAAAAGTTAGCAAACAGATTAATAAAAGCCCACGCTTTACTTTCCAGCATTTACTTTTCTGCATTTTTCTCATCTAAAAAGAGGCCCAAAAGCAAAACACCTCCCACATCACAAACGTGTTTTTCAGTGGTTGTTGTTGTTGTTGGTTGCTGATTTTCGAGATTTGAAAGGCAGCAGAACTTTTTAAAAATCTTAAAATTGTGAATCCAAACAATAACAACAATTTACACTTATATAGCACCCTCCACGTTGGAAAGAGGTCCCAGGGCACTGGATAGTCAGGGTTGTTTTGGACCCGGGCTGAGAGTTATCATCAGGACGGGTGGAGGTGGGAGGGTGGCTAAAGGCATGGTTGAAGAGGAAGGTCTTTAGACGGGACTTGAAAGAGGCAATAGTGGGGGTGAGGCAGAGGGTTTGCAGGATAGAGTTCCAGAGTGTGGAGGCAGAAAACTGAGAGTTGCAACAAATACAAGATCCAATTGGGACCATTTAACATCCAAAGGCTGGCTGTAGGTTGAGTTATTTGATGCAGATCTGTACATAATCTGACACAATTATCATAGTGTAAACTATTGAAAAATACCCCAGAAACTATCGCTCTGAAGTAACTCATAAACTCTGATTTTTTTTCGGGTAAAGATTTAACATTAATTTCTGTATCTTATATAAAAGGCTAAATAAAGTCCAGAGGAAGTATTAACTGTGCAACATACTCCTCCAGATATAGAAAAAAAGCACATAAAAAGTGTGGTTTACCAAGAAAGAACAAGCAATCTTCAGTTTCACACATTACCTGGAATCCATTTCTTCCTTATCAGATCATTTGAAGTGAAGTTTACATTTTTAAAAACAATGCCTTTAATATACAGTATGTCTATGGGGAGTGTTCTGAACATAAAATACTACCTGCATACTGTATTTTCTCCTCAAATCATAGAAATTTGCAGTGAAGAAGGAGGCTAATCAACCCACATCGAGTCTACAGCAGCTCTCAGAGCAAGTAGCACTTTCAATCCCACTGCCCTATCCCCCAGAGACTCCAAGCATTTAACCTTCATATGCCTGTCTACTTCCCTCTTGAAACCCACAATGGACTCTGTCTCTACCACTTTTCTTAGCAAGGCATTCATACAAATGTTTGATCATGTTCATCATAGATTAAAAACGCCATTCATCACACGAATGCAGAAAAATAGTGCAGGGTCCACAAGCAGAAAACGTATGTGTGTGCCAGTAAATCCCTGCTTGGAAAAGATTTTTCTAAAAAATTCAATGTATTTTTCTAATTTCCTTCTTCATTGACATATGTCTCAGTTCCTGTTCTAGACGTCTCAGGCTGGGGGTACAGCATCCTCTACCCACATAGCCACATTTCATGACAGACCACTTGACTGAAGAGGGTGTCACAGCTGAGGCTGATCTCTCCTCACCAACCTGTCACACATACACATGACCAATATGTGAGTTGGACCACATTCACGAAACCCACCCAAACTCCCTTACCCGAGGAGTAAACTCAACAAACTCACGAATTTGACCAACAACCATCAGGGCTGCCCCGAGCTAAAAAGAATCCCAAAAGACAGCAAGTGGGAATCTATTTGACTCGGATGTTGAAGTGCTTTGCAACATTGTTCTTCGCGAATAAGACTATTTAACAACAACAAATTGTATTTATATAGCACCTTTCACATTAGGGTTTTTTTTAATTTAAATTTAAGCTGTTATTATACATTATCTAAGACCCCCGATTTAGATAGATGTCTTGTGATGACTGTCCTCGGTTTAACAGCAGTAAGTCTTGTTAACATTTTGACAAGTTGCTTTTCGTTTCATTCTCCAAAATTAATAGCATTTAATACCTCCAGAACTATCAATGGGTGTATACAGTAGTTCACACTGAAAAGGTCTCAGCAATGTGTGGCTTATCATGTCAATCTATGTGGAGCCTGCAAAAACAGTTCCTCAAACTATGAGGCTAATATATTTACTCACATGATTTATTACACAGTAAAATTTGCATTAGTCTGATCTCCATCAATCGTATAATTGCCTAAGTCGTGCATCTGCCGTTCAAGAGTTTATATTCCATGCACGTTTGACATAACTCAACTTTGCATAAGTCATAATAAAAGTATGGTCCCACCTGATGTGGCTTATGTGAGGTTTGCTGTATTATGTAATCATGTAGAGGTGTTGAACATGGTCAAAAAAATACACGTGTTTATTTCCAACCAAGTTTGACTTAGTCGTTAGATAGATTACTGCAGCGGGCTGTTTACTTCACACTAGTTACTTTGACAGCTAAAGCAGATGCAAATCAGTTGCTAAACCCTCCTGCAAAACACAATCTGTTTGCCCCCAAATACAAAAATCTCTCTCGTGGGGGTCCGATTAGTAATAATAATAATAATCCTTGCATTTGATATAGTGCTTTTCACGTCGGGAGGACGTCCCAAAGCGCTTGACAGAACACACTATGTAAAGTGAATTGACTGTATATTTGTGGGCGAACGCGGCAGCCAATTGCGCACAGCAATGTCCCACAAACAGTCGTGGATTGAAAATGACCAATTTTATTACTGTTTTGTTTTGGAGGGATTATTATTCCGAGTTCACTGCTATTTTGAAGCAGAATAAAAAGCGACCCTCCCTCCCACCAACTGGATTTTGTGAAACAAACACACGACTGAAGTGCGGGCTGCACTGACAAACAGGAAACCATCAGCATTTCGGGGTTACAACAAGTTGCCAAAAAAAATAATAATATATAAATATATATATACGGTATATATATCCAGACACGTTCGACTTATTCTTTAGTATTTTTTTTCATTGGGATCTTGTTTCTCTCTGAGGCGGATGACCTCTGCAATGATGTGTTAAATAAAAAAGCTGCTTCACAACAGGTGCAGTGGTTTCACAACTCACTGGAGATGTTCCTCTCTCTCTCTCTTCTCTCTCTCTCTTCTCCCCTCTCTGTACTGTACAGTATTTCCTTTGCAAACACCGACTGTCGCTGCGATTAAAATAACTCACAACTTTTTTTTTTCTTTTATGCGACCCCAGGAAGAGAGTGAGAGAGAGAGAGAGAGAGAGAAGGAGAGAGAAGGAGAGAGAGAGAGAGAAAAAAAAAGCCTCTGCTTTAATGGCCAACTTTCTCTTTTGGAGATCAAAAAAAAATTTTTTTAATTTTTTTTAATAAAAAATAAAATTTTAAAAAAAAACCTCCCCCATCCCCCCCCACAAAAAAAATCCTTCAATCCCAAATAATATATGAATAACAGACCTGCTCCGGGGCTGTCGGGCACTGCACTCCGTTGGTTGAACTCGAAAAGAAAGTCAAAGTCAAACTCCTCTTCATCCTGACTGATGGAAGTCATCATCACCACCAACAGGTATCAACCACCAGCACTCACACAACCGGCTGGAGGTGCCTGGTAACCCCCCCCCACCCACACACACCCCCCACCCTCACACACCCTCACACACCCACACACACCACCACCCCCCACCCACACACACACCCCCCACCACCCTCTGCTGAACCTGACACTCGCTGCACTCGGCAGCACTCAGTGAGTCAGAGGGCGAGAGGGGGAGACAGCGATCGCCGTGTGTTCATTCCCGCAGCGATCGTCCTCTTCTGGATACACATTCAACTGCGATATTTTCTTTGCACAGTGTTCCCCCCCCCCCACCACCACCACTCCTCCTCCTCCTCCCCCCACCACACCCACCCCCTCACTTATATTTAGACAGGGCTGAATTTCCTCTGCACTTGCACTCTACCCCTTCGCTCCTTTACTCATTTGCATCGGACACATTTCCGTGTATTAAATTAACACTGTGTGTGTTGGAGGGGAGGGGTGTGTGTGTGTGTGTGTGTGGGTGGGGCGGGGGGAGGGGGGGGTTAAACCAGTGCTTGGCAATTGTACTCTTAAAATGCAAAATATTATTGGTAACTCCCATCGCCGAGGGCAGGAAAAAATACCTACAAACCGGGAACGAGCCACGGTGCAGCCAGTCTGTTTAATAATAATAATGATGATGATGATGAGTATTGTCCCTGTACCATCACGGTTACTGCCCTGTTCACCCCCCGCCCGCCCCCGCCCGTGACAGATCGGAAGGGTGTTGCAGCCTGGAAAGTACTTTGACAAACCAGGCAATTCGTCACACCTTAAATCTGATCCGGTTTGCACAGCACTGACTGCAAGTGGAACTATGAAAATGAATGGCCCCCTTTTGCCCGAGTTCAATTCCAGGCAGGGCGAAACCTTGGGCAAGTTTCCTTGCTCAACACGCCTAATAATAATCCCTCCAAAACACCCCCAAAAAAAAACAATAATAATAAATTGGTCATTTTCAATCTACGACTGTTTGTGGGACACTGCTGTGCGCAATTGGCTGCCGCGTTCGCCCACAAATATACAGTCAATTCACTCTACAGTGTGTTCTCTGAAGCGCTTTGGGATGTCCTTCCGACGTGAAAAGCGCTATATCAAATGCAATGATTATTATTATTATTATTATAATAGCTGGTTTCAGTTCAGTTACTATTTACTGCCACAGATTGTTGCTGCTGTGATTACTGCACTGGGGAAGCACAAGCAATGACTTCAGGTCAAGAACTCTCTTGGGTCTGCTGGGCTCCCATGGCCATGAGTTAGATCATTTGTGCTGTGCGGACCTCAACTTTAAAACAATTCCTGCAGACAAGACAGGGACCAGAAATCCCTCCTGTTTTTTTTTTAAAAAATTTGGTCACTCAATGCACCACTGTTTGTGGGACACCGCATTTCGCCCACAAAATACACATTCAGTGCTCTTTACAGTATATTCTGTGATAAGGCACCATATCAAATGCAAGGATTATTATTATAACTTCTCATTTCCATTTCTTTCTGTGAGTTCTCAAATGTGCACTATTATTTTCAAATGGTCAACTTGCCAACATGCGATTCCTAATTGACATTACTGCTTAGTTTTTCTGAGCATCGCTCATGTTTTCTTTGGTTTGATTCTGTATAACTAACCTTTTATTTTAGGCTCTGACTGTTCAGTGCCTTGGGACGTCCTCCCGGCATGAAAGGCGCTTTACAAGTGTAATTTTGTATTGTATGCTCAGTTGAAGAATGACACAATGCAAGGTATATTTCAATGAACATTAGCTTATTGAGTTTTGCAGCTTGACTAGTTTAAACGTTTAAATACCCTGTGTTTTGACCTTGTGCACTGTCAGTCTTTTGTGTGTCTGCCTCTTAGAATAATCTGTGCATTTGTTATCGCACTTTCTCACTTCAAACATCTCGAAGCACTTCAGTGTTTTTCTGTAAAGTGTACTTCTGTGTATTTGTAGGTGAACACAGCAGACAAGTTGTGAACGGAAATGTCCCAGAAACAGCCATGAAGTGAACAACCATTTTTTAAAATATATAACTATAATAGTAAACCTTGCATTTTATTATAGTATTAATATTATAATTACAATGAATGCATTATATTATTATTATAACTACATCTCTGTATGAAGGAGTGGCTCTGTTGGGTGGCTATAAAGCTAACTGTGGGAATGCAGGAGATAATGAAGGCCCGCTACCTCTAACCTGTTCTGCTATCATTGGTGCCAAGTATCTGAAGGTGTAGTTTCTGCAGGCTCATTACTGTCAGAGGCAGTGTCTATTAATGATGTTACAGGACTACATGATCTCCAGTATTGGCTGCCATCCAGATGCCTCTGTTCTACTCCACACATGACTCTGGTGGATATCATCTCTCAGCACCATTGATCTGTGTGACAGAGAATGGACATCTGTGAAACGATTGAATTCCACAGTCATCATTGCCTGTAACTGTTCTTCCAAGATTACTGAAGCTGGCCATGGCTGCCCCTTGCAATGTTGGCCCAAAGGCTCCTAAGCAGCACTATAAGTATTCATGAGAGATGTCCTCAGTGACAGGTTGTAGCAGAAACACTCAGATTCCCATTGCATAGGTCATGTGGGAGATGGCAGAGCCTGTCTGAATATTGGACTTTTTACTGGTACCAAGATCACTTTCCAATGCAATTTAACTTGAGGTAAGCAATATGTTCCTTATACTGTAACAAACTTAATTTGAGAGTAGGTTACTAATGTTTCCGTTCAGTCAAGGCACATAGCATTCCGAGTCTCTGGCTATACCAGCTTTCCCATCATCACTTCCCCACCAAAGCTGTAGACATAGCTGAGGAAGTAAAGGGGGAGGCTCTGTTCCTCAGCAATGCTTTGATCTCGCATTGAAAATCCACAGATGTCATCCCACTGTTACAGTAGTAAGCCATGATATATTGTAACTAGACTTTCAAATGTTTTTGTCAAAGTACCATATGAGAAATTCCTTTACAAACTGATGGCATTTGCTACCAACAGTAAAACATGGATGTGGATTAGTAAATAGCTGAAGGAGAGGAAATGGAAGTTAGTTGTTAGAGGAGATGGGTCAAAATGGATAAAGGTCTATATTGTGCGGGATGCCTCAGGGGTCCATGTTCCATATATATTAATCTCCTGTTCTCCTGTTCACATCTCCTGTTCCATATATATTAATAATTGAGAATCACAGACAAGGTAGTACTTGAAATATTTGAATGTAATACTGGAAGATGACACTAATTTAACTGGAACTGTGAAATCAGAGGAGGCAGCAAAGGTCTTGAGAAAGAGTATTTGACTGGCTATACACTTGAAAATAAATGTCTCTAAGGGGGACCATATTCAGAGGTTTACACAATGACAAATTGGATATATGCTCAGGCAACAGGACACGAGGGCATAGGTTCAGAGTTATAAGGGGTACTTTTAGAATAGATACCAGGAAGCATTACTTTATACAAAGGGTGGTGAACAGCTGGAACAAATTACTAATAGGGTGATAGAGGACATGATCCTGGACTCATTTAAGAAATCGTTAGTTTGATGGTGTAATGGAAAGTTCTGTAATGAGTAGCATTCTGGAAGGATGAGATTAATGGACCAGACCGCCTTCTTCATTTTTCTCTTGTGATCATGCAAAACCATTTCAGGATGGAATTGCACTGCTTTATTACTCAGACAAGACTTTATTACAATTTAAGCAATCTGCAACGCCACGCCGTGCTATATAAATGCAAGTTGTTGTTGTTTCATTACATGTAGTGTACACTACATGCTTTGGTGCACAATCAGTGGGCACGGATTTGTTCTTGGAACAAATTAGGCAATTCATACAATATCTAGATAACATTATCTAACACTAACGTGTTCATCTCCTCCTAGGTCAACTAGCCCTATACATTCCAAGTTCTCCTTCTCGAACACATTCTTCAATGGCATGAATTGCTTTAAATCAGATGGTCAACCAACTACCTGCTGGCTTTGCAGTTTTGCCTTTAAACATCAGAGCAGTAATAACTGAAACACAGTGATGGAACCATGGAATAACACATTCATTTCCCATATAGAATGTTAACTGTAATCCGCAGTAACCTGGTGGTAATATTCTTACTAATATTTCTCTATCAGTGGCACTTTTTAAGAAATGTATTATTCACTTTACAGTATATTTACAGTAACTCTGTCTGTCCAGCGCCTTGGGATGTCCTCCCGAGATGAAAAGCTTATAAAAATGTAATTTTTTTGTTGTTGTTATTCTGTGAAGTGCTTTGAGACATCTAGAAGACGTGAAAAGCACTATATCAAATGCAAGGATTATTATGTGGAGTCCTGTAGCTCAGTGGTTAGAGCACTCGCTTTGCAAGCGAGAGACCTGGGTTCAATTCCAGGCAGGGCGAAACCTTGGGCAAGTTTCCTTACTCCACACGCCTAATAATAATCCCTCCAAAAAACAAAACAATAATAAATTGGTCATTTTCAATCCACGACTGTTTATGGGACACTGCTGTGCGCAATTGGCTGCCGCGTTCGCCCACAAATATACAGTCAATTCACTTTACAGTGTGTTCTGTGAAGCGCTTTGGGACATCCTCCCGACGTGAAAAGCGCTATATCAAATGCAAGGATTATTATTATTATATTATTATTTTTACTGTACTCTATAACTGTTTTACCTTGATGCTTCTTTTACACTCATGCAGTTTCTTCCATACCTTTTACTAGATCCAATGAACTACTAAACTGAAGTACGAAACTGAAATGTCATCCTGGACTATGATATCGAATCCCAGTGCAGGCCTTCAATCTGATGAGCTAGAGACAAGAGTGCTCGTAGCTGTGGTGCATGTCTATTTATTACTCTTGTCAATGTGATTAGTTTGTTGCACTCTACACCACATATTAGCAGAGACTGATCATGCTGGCAACCTTATTAAAAAATGGATATGCTTCATGGGTATCCTTTTGGCTGGCAATACCTCACAGCAACTATCATTTAGCAGCTAAACCTGGATGAATGCAGCACACACAGAGGAGCTCTATAA